AGAGTGATATTTTTCCGATATACTATATTAAAACTCCAAAGCTTCTGTCACTATACACATATATATATATATATATATATATATATATATATATATTTCGAGCCAAATTAATCGAACACGAACGAACAAATATTTGTTTGTGTTGTTCGTGTTCGACTCGTTAACTTAGCAAACGAGCCGAACCGAACGAGAGTTTTTTAATGAGTCGAACGCGAGCTTCTTAACAAATCGAGCCGTTTTGACAGCCCTAATTGCAGGGCGTGGACCCGCGCTCAACAGCGAATCTCTTCGCCGATGCGGTGTGCATCGGTGAAAAGATCATCAACAGAGAGGAATGCTTCATCCTAAAACTGGAAGCCAATGCTCACGTCCTCAAATCTCGTAGCTCATCTAACTTCTACATTATCCGTCACACAATTTGGGGCTATTTCAGCCAACGCACCGGCCTCCTTATGCAGCTCGAAGACTCTCAACTTCTCCGTATGAAAGCCGACCGCTCGGCCTCAGCACAGATCAGCAGCAGAAACAACAATAACAACAACAATGATTCATCCATCTTCTGGGAAACTTCTATGGAGTCTATCGTCGACAACTATCGCTACATTGATGGCATCAATATCGCTCATAGTGGTCGAACTGTCGACACTCGATACGGCGAGGGATCGGTTAATCACCGACGCCGGATGGAGGAGATTTGGACGATTGAGGAAGCTGATTTCAATCTACATGGCCTCGCAATGGATCATTTTCTGCCGCCGTCGGATCTTAAGGTTGATTGCAACTAGAGTTTGTTAGTACTTTTCTTTCAATTAATTGATTTTATTTTTTTGTCCCGCTTCTAATTACTCAGTTTTTTTTGTTTTGCGCTTCTAATTACTCGGTTTTTTTGTTTGGCGATGTATATATATTTTTTATTTTTAAGAAATTAGGATGCAATGGAGAGGGAGGAACTGTATAGGCATGGAGGGAATTTCCTTGATTTGTATTCTTTTTTATGCTTCAAAATTACAGGCATTGTATTGTGAGTATTTTGAATGCAAATTTGGGGAAATTGCATATTTTTGCAGACTTCATATATTGCTTTAGGAAACGTTGATGTCAAAGCATAAAGATGTAAAATAAGATAGATTAAAGGCAGAGATCAAGTTTCCATTCAATGCAGTTTTTACTGTTTCATTATTTTTCAGATTAGGGTTTAGGGTTCATTCATTGGATTATTATTTTGCTGCTAACTTTCAAAAAAATTTGTAGTTCGTTTTGAGAATCACATCTGTTGGCATGTGATGGTCGTAAAAAAGTTGATGTTTTTGATATTTTAATATAATAATTATGTTGTGGGGAGTATTTTTAGAAAAGTTAATTTACACATAAGTATAAAATCATCATTACATAAAAAACTAATATTATTTCAAAGGATACTGAAGTGTGGGTTAACAAATAATAAATTAATTGTTGTGAAAAACAACGGCAATAATGCCAAAAATTGGATTGAGTAAAATTCACAAAACTGAAAACACAGCGAAAACACACAGATTTACGTGGTTTGACAAATTTTCTACGTCTACGGAGTTGTAGAGGATTTTATTACTCGAGGATTACCTCCGTTGATCGCCTTGAAGATTACAAAAAAGAACAATATCTCTCTCTCTCTCTCCACTCTCCGCTCCAGAGCAACGGCCGAAGAAGAAACATGAGAAACTAAATCGCGAGAGAGATAACAAGGGGAGCTAACATGCCTATTTATTAATTATATCATGTCATTAGGTTCATTAAGGAATTAATTAAATAATTAATGAAGCACATTAATTATTTCATTTTCTCTTCTGCAGCAAATCATAGAAGGAATTAAGAGTAATTAATTTAGCAATTAATTTTGAGTATTAAATCCAATTTGTTGTCAAACATGAGAAAATGTCAATTTGAACAGTGGACTGATTTTTATATTCACAACAAATCTCCCACTTTGAGACTGAAACATTGGCTGCATCATCCACTAGCTGCATCGTTCTTTTCTTCAAACGTGATATCTTCCACCTCTGCAACTCAAAATTTCTTGTCTTCGCGTTAGAAAACCAACTGAAGTCGAGCACAACTTCAGTTTCTTAAGAGTAACACTCTTAGTTGACATATCAACGTCAACATAGCCTTGTACCTCCAAGCTCTTTCCTAAGTTACTCCCGTATCTGCTTACAACTCTCACTGCATGGGCAATATTTTTCTTCTACTGAAAGTCTTTTTCAACAAGTATAATTTTGTAACTCTTACTGTCATCAACCGCAGTCTTCACCCGACACACACACTCGTTGTGCAATGTCTTCTGCCCCGGTGAATGTTCTGTCAGCTCCCAAGTCTGGTTCCCTCACAGAGAATCCATTTTTTCCAGTCGCTTTCCCAGTAAAGGAAAATGAAGTTTCTTCTCATATAGGTAGTTCTTTATCTGCATTATTCAGAAACAAAAATCTGTGTCATTAAACTTCTCGATCCCCGATG